TATCCTTTGGACCTTAATGTGGACCAATTTGAAAACTGGCCCCAAAATTAAAAATCTAAATACACGGTTAGATACCAGGGGTATGTCAAAGAACGTCTCGTCCTTTTTCTAAAAAAGTTCATCGGAAGGTACCAAGAACTTGTTGATGAATATTCCGTATCAGCTTCACAAATAATACACGATGGTCTTGAAGTATAGATTTTGCATACTGACGTTGTTTATCATCTTAATAACGTGTTATAGTATTCTTTTATTTATCTTTATTAATATTACTTTTACTGTTAAGTCTGTTTTTTGAGATATCCATTTGACGTGACTCTGTGCTTATGTATCCCGTCATACTTTGAACGACAAAATTATTTTATTTATAAATATTACTTTTACTGTTGAGTCTGTTTTTTTATGATATACATTTGACGTGACTCTGAACTTATGTATATCGTCATACTTTGTACCACACAATTATTTTATTTTATTTATTAATATTACTTTTACTGTTAAGTCTGTTTATTGTTATATCCATTTTACGTGACTCTGTATTTATGTATCCCCTCATACTTTGAACGACAAAATTATTTTATGTCTACCTGTGCGTCCTTTATGGATGGATTTTACATAGATAAATAAAATCGTATAATATAAGCAAAATGAGGATTTTAATTTTGATGTATGCCTTTTTGTGCTTCTTCGTTACATTTGTTTGTTTTTATAGTGATTAAGAGGATAACACAATGTTGACTGCTGTACCCCTATTTTTTGACATTTTTACCTATTGTGTCTTCTTGTTTTAATCACGCATCGCTGTCAATATAATGGAATTTGATGCGACTGTCATACAAGTGAGGGGTTTCGCTAGCTATAAAACCAGGTTCAATCCACCATTTTCTACATAAGAAAATGCCGTACCAAGTCAGGAATATGACAGTTGTTATCCATTCGTTGGGTGTGTTTGGGCTTTTGATTTTGCCATTTGATTATGACTTATATCTAGAAATTGACTATGAGGGTCGGTTGAAAACAAAACTTTACGACAAAAGAGATGATTTCAGCTTCCGAATTGTGAATTTTCATTTTTACACCAAGAGTTCCAAATGGTGAAGTTGAAATCATTACTTTGTAAATTTAACGGACGCCATCACGAGTTGGTTGACCGTTATGGAATATCCGTTTCACAGATGATATCGGATATGTTCCTTATGTCGTAACTACATTCCCGTTCTCTTTTCCCTAATGTGACCTACCGAATTAGACTATTTACCCCTATTTGTGACATTTTTACCTATTGATTTTGTTTGTTTTGTTCACACATCGTTGTCAATATAATGGAATTTGAAGCGACTGTCTTACAAGTGAGAGGTTTAGCTAGCTTTAAAGCCAGGTTCAATCCACCATTTTCTACATAAGAAAATGCCTGTACCAAGTCAGGAATATGACAGTTGTTATCCATTCGTTTGATGTGTTTGTTTTTTTTTATCAGTTTGCCATTTGATTGGGGACTTTCCTTTTTGAATTTTCCTCGGAGTTCAGTATTTTTGTGATTTTACTTTTTAGATGCCGGCATATCAAAGAACCTTAAGAATTCAATTTTAGATGAAATCAAACAAAGTTTAATTAATCTTATAATTTTCCTTGGACCTCAAAGCGGACCAAAACCCAAAATCTAAATAATTATACGGTTAGATTCATGATATTTAAAAAGAACCCCTAGAATTCAAGACTTTCAATTAAACCCATTTGAAATTTGTCAAGAAATAAGCAATTCATACAAAGTATTAGAAAAGTATTGTTTTTGTCCCTTTTTCCTTAAGGTTAGGGCCATAGCCCCCAAAGTCTATTCGGTTTTTTTTTTGGTATGGAACCTTGTGGAACAATTTCATAGAGATCCATAGACTAATACTCAAGTTATTGTCAGGAAACCAGAAATCCTAGTTTTGGTCCATGATTCCTAAACGGTTTGGGCCATAACCTCCAGAATCAATCCCAACCTTCCTTTTGTTGTATGGAACCTTGTGGTACAATTTCATAGAGATCCATACTCTTGTACTCAATTTATTGTCTGGAGATCAAATGTATTCGGACGACGACGATGACGACGACGTCATACCATTATACGAATATAAAAATTTTGCGGTCGTATAAAAATCTGTTGGAAAGGACTTGACTCATCAGATCGGCACGAAGCACACAAACAGCTAACAAAAAATCAAAAGACACCAAGCGTATATAATTGTGAAATTAAGAGATATCAAAATTCTTTACTTTTGTTTCCAATCTGATGTATTTTTCCTTTATCTATGGGACATTGAATTTGTCACGAGCGAGTCTGAAGTTTTCGATCCTGTTTTGGTCTTTTTCGAAATATTTAGCTAGTCTTTTCCTTGTGTAATAACTCTGAAAATCTTTCCATTTGACGACATGTATTTCCTTTAGTATATTATTTTGTATGTGCAATGATTAATTACATAATATTTTATTCTATAAAGAGATAGGACTGTCCAATATCTGTGAAACTCTTCCCAATTCCCGAAGGAAAAAAGGTTACAAAAAGAGGTTCTTGTCGTTCATCGCCTTAAACTGTTGCAAATAAAATAAATTTTAGGATTGAATTGAATCCTTATTCAAGAATGAATATCCTAGACCAGCGGTGAAACCCAACCATTGTTCTGTGAATGAGGCTCGAAATAATTTTCTGCTTAACAGCATTTAAGAACTCATAGCGAACATTGAATCATACATGTAGCTATATATCAAATAAATTTATGCGACATGCTTATTTTCATGCATAATTATTGGCCCTCAAGTCTTTTGTCAATAATCGATGCCCAGTAGTACACAATTGTAAGCAATCTTATACTGGTATGCAAATTGTACGAAAATAAACATCAACAAGCAAAAAAGGGAAATTTCTGGATGAGATTCTAAAATGGATTTATTTCATTTTGTGTCGAGAAGTTGCATATAAGAACACAATTGAATAATATCATTTCAACTTATCAACGCCTCATTTAGGACATTTCACTCTAATATACAGTCCGCCAAAAGTTAAGCACCACCTAAATATAACTGGCAATATTTTTCTAACTATTGCGAAAAAATATTTATGTTTGGTGTTATGAATTACCTATAACATACACTAAGAAAATTCATTACGACCAAAAAAAATAAACTCCGATAAACACGCCAATCAATTTTTTATTAAAGGTCATCTGCACTTTTTCGAATACACTGTTTCGATGCCTTTAAATCATCTTCCTACTGTCCCGAGTACAGGTGAAATTTGACCTTCACCAAGTCACTGTGAAATATGGCAAGGGGTAAGTTATATGTGACTGAACCTTGCCAAGCAATTGACATGTCAAAATGCCAGTAGGAGTACTAGTTGCATAGGTAACCATTTCAATGTTAAACACCCCGCTACGACAATGCTAGACCACACAGGGCAAGGATTGTAACCGAGTACAAAGAGCAAGAAGCCATTGACACTATCTTTTGGCCTTCCATGTCTCCAGACATGAACCCTATCGAACATGTCTGGGATGCTATTGGCAGAAATCTAAATCGCAGAGATCCACCTTTGCAAAATCTTAGCGATTTAAGAAGCGCAATTGTTGCTGAATGGAATAAATTCGCTCAACTAAAGTTCAGAAGGCTTGTACAGAGTATGAGACTCCGTGTTATGGAACTGTACCGGAAGAGAGGGTGTTGCACATCCTATTGACTCAAATATTGACATTAAATTTGCCGAACATACCAAAGATTATTTGCAGAGACTTTTAATGATATTAGGTGATTAATTGTTGTAAAAAAATGAAATCACAGTGGAACTTAAATTCCGTTTCTGATTTGTGTAATGTTCACTATTTCTATGAACGCAAATTTCAAATGCATAGAACCTGCATATGTGAACAAACTTAAGTCTACGGTTTGTTTATGGTATATGTTAGCAAAATTGCTACATGAATATTTTCTCTTTTTCGAGGATTAACTGATTTTTTTAAATGAAAAAAATTTCGATGCAATAAAAATAGGTGGTGCTTAACTTTTGGCGGACTGTATATATACCATACTTAATTAGAACTGAAATGGCAGCTCAGCAAATCAGGTTTTTTTGTTGTTGTGCTGTAAGCTCTGTTCAATCCAACACTTTCATTTGAAAACTTATTTCTGACGAGTTAGTCATTTTGTTTGATATATAACTGTTTGTTTTCTTTATTCATCGCTTGTCTTTTGTTTTATGCATAGGTAGTTGTCACTGGACGTTTAGAAAGTATCAGTCATCTATTGTTTAGTATGCTTTGTATTGTCTGTGTTTTTGTTTTGATTCAGATTTTCATTTGATTTAGAACGGTAAATAAATATGATGGTTGATGTTTAATCAAACGGGAATAGAGACATTCCGTCAAATGGTAAATTTTCAGTTTTTCTTAAGATGAATTTAAACACGCTGGGTGCCAAGAACAGTAATCCTACCACAGCAACTGAGTTAACTCCCTGGTTTTTGGTAAGGTTCGTGTTGATCACTTTTTCGTTTTCTGTCTAGTGTTTTGCGATCTTTTATGTGCCTCCCTTTCGTTTTAACTGTACCTTGTGTTTATGAGCATTGACCCTTCCTAACTCTGTCGATCAGTCTAGATGATTTTGTGGTGTTGGGTTGCTTTCTCAATGCTGTATACACACTATCTCCTTTTAATCATATCATTTGGGTTCATACATTTTTTGTATTTGAATAGGAACATTCCTCTTGTTCACATTAGATTAAAGTATTAGTATTGATGCTACGTGTAGTTGTTTTTATAATTTAAACTCTAAGACTTGCTTGCAATCATTCAGTCAAACTTCTATTATATTTAGCAAGATCGTCCTGAACATGCATGAAATATTTGCCACTGTATGTTAAGCAAACAAGAATCAATCAATATTTAGCAAGTACATTTGTAAGTGCACTTAAGCATAACATAAAGCTAGTATAGCAGACAATAACTTGAATGAAACAAGAAGCATGCTATAAAAGATTTTTATTTATACGTTTACAAGCAAATGTTTTAACAACAAAAGCATTTGATAAGTACCAACAATTAAATTTCATTAATAACTAAAATCAAACACTTTTACATCCTTCATCTATATTTTATCTATCTTCTTTTTATTTTTTTTATTATTTTTCATTGGTGCATGGTACATGTAGTACATGTACATGTATGAATGCCACAATTAGTCATCAAATTAAATAAATAGCTGCTTTGATACAACTACCTGCAAATAATCATGTTTATGTATGTACAAATCAGATAAACAAATATCACATCAAAATATCACATGTACAATTATTTTTGAAAAACATCACAGTGAAGTCGTCGGGACGAACTCCAAACATAGTGATTCCAGCATGTGTCAACAATACATCCCTTCGGCCTAGATGCTTCATACACGAGTAAGCTACATCAATTACCGATCGAAATTACTTTACTTAAGTTTACGAGTAAAGTTATTGTTGTCTTTAAATGGCAAAATATGAAATGAGTTTGATGATATAGATTACATGAAGATAAACACAATATCTACAGGAAACATGTGACAATCGTAGAAGGTATGTTCATTCTTGCACGAAGCCTTCCCTTTTGACATTCCGACGTCATTGTCATTCATGGTTATATGTATTCAATAAGATATTCAGGAAAAAACTGACTGTCTTGAAATATGCAATAAATCTTCGGATTCTTTTTAACATCTACACAGCTATCATATAAAGGTCCACCTTTAACCTGCTGAGGAGGTTTGGTATAATTTCCCTTTCCTGGACACGTTTTTCCCGCCAAAACTTTACACAAAAATATGTATTTGTGATCTTCGTCATCAGGCTGTGCATAGGAATCGGAATATGAAGCATCTACTGAGAAATGCGTTCCTTTTCCTAACACGCGGCCTTTTTTACCACGGCCTAAACGTGATGTTGTACTTTTGTCCGAAATACTATCAAGACTGTCAGGTGTTGTACCGTGAAACAAAGAAATCTCATTGCATCCGTCTTTACCGTAATCGTTATCTAATTCGGTCTTTCTCCTGCAAAATATATAAAATTAAAATAAGTAAAAAAAAATACCGAAACCCACGATGAAAGTTATATGTGTTGTTATAATTCGCATTATTATTATGTCAAAAATAATTATTTTTACTACTGTCATACAAAGTTAGAAATATATAGAGTTAATTGCAAGTTGCAAAGACGTTACATATTTTCCGTACTCATCTGTTTTGTTCTAAACATAACGTATGGTGACCTATAGTTGTTCACTTCTATGTCATTTGGTCTCAGGTGGAGAGTTGTCTCATTGGCAATCATACCACATCTTCTTATATTTATATAACAACAAATAAGAAGATGTGGTATGAGTGCCAACGAGACAACTATCCATCCAAGTCACAATATGTAAAAAGTAAACAATTATAGGACAAAGTACGGCCTTCAACAAGGAGCCTTGGCTCACACCGAACATGAAGCTATAAAGGGCCCCAAAATGACTAGTGTAAAACAATTCAAACCCGGAAAACCAACGGTCGAATCTATATAAATAAACTCAATGTCATACTAGTATCAGAAATTTGTGAAAAACTAAAGGGAGGTTATCTTAATTGATATAAACCAGTCACCAAAGTTTAATGAAAACTGCTCAAAGCACTTTAAAGGTATTGTCCGAAAACTGGAAAATCACCCCTTTTTTATGAATAAAATCCCATAACTCGGAAGTGTAAAATCTAAAATTTATAAAAATTGAAAGGGAGCTTACATCAATAGATATAATTTAAAACAATTCTCCAAAGTTTCATGAGAACTGCTGAAAGCATTTTTGAGTAATTGTCCGAAAACTGGAAAATCCCCCTTTTTTTAATGAATAAAAACTCCATAACTCGGAAACGTAAATTCTAAAATTTATAAAAAACGAAAAGGAGCTCACGTCAATAGATATGAACAATTCACAAAAGTTTTATGCAAATTGGTTTGAAGCGTTTTTTGAGTTAATGTCCGACAAGTTGACGACGGACGGACAGACGGACAACGGTATACCGTAAAGGGGCGTATAAAAACAAGAAACGAGAAACACTTATGAACCACACCAACAAACGACAACCACTGAACAACAGGCTCCTCAGGGCCGTAACTACATTGAGGCAAATGAGGCAAATGCCTCATGTTGGAAATTAAAAAAAAAAAAAAATTATAATAATAAGTTAAAACAAAAGCTTGTCTTCATATCAAATTGTTTTCACGGCGAGTGTCTTACAAGAACCTCTGACGTCGCCCCTGTTTTTTCGAGATCCATTGTCTATTGTTTGTCGTAATGTGTCTAAAATCTGTTCCCAGGTTTGTCTTTTGTTCATTGGTTGCCATTCTCTATGACTATTCTCCTAGTTTTGAATTTAATTGGTAAATTAGTAATTTTGCTTTAAACTTGAGTTTTATCATATTTAAGGACCTTTTGTCTAATTTTAAATTGTAAAAATAATTGAAATTAGCTCTCGACTTTTTGTTCTAAGGCGGCGTTAAGCGAACACCAATCAATCAATCGATCTATATGACTATGGTTTCAGTTGTCTAAAAGAGAGACGAAAGATACCAGAGGGACAATCAAACTCATAGATCGAAAACAAACTGACAACGCCATGGCCAAAAATAAAAAGACAAACAGACAAATAATAGTACAGATGACACAACATAGAAAACCAAAGACTAAGCAACACGAACCCCACCAAAAACTGGGGGTGATCTCAGGTGCTCCCGAAGGATAAGCAGATCCTGCTCCACATGTGGCACCCGTCGTGTTGCTTATGTTATTACAAATCCGGTAAATAGTCTAATTCGGTAGGTCACATTCGTGAAAAGGGAAGGGTATTGTTGTTACGACACAAGAAACATATCCGATATCATCTGTAAAATGGTTATTCTATAACGGTCAACCAACTCGTGATGGCGTCTAAATTAATATTCCTTGTTGTGAACGTTCATTCTATGCTTTGCGTAGACTTAAGACTTTGGAAAGATCTACGATAACTAGTGAATGGTCATGTGTGGTTTGCCAATATTACATGCCCACCGATGTCCAGATATTGTTCGAGAAAATGCTTTGAGAAGATACGATGCTACCCGTAACCGGACATAAAATGTCGTTTTTGATGTTAAAAAATACAAAACTGGCTCTCTTTTCAGTAAATAAATACTAAAAAGCTGACATGGGTAAATTTAAAGTGAAACAACCCAATTTTCCGGAATCAGATCATTTAAAAAGAAAATAATGTATTGCTATATGACCTTTTCAATTGAGGGGATAATCATTAACTTGTTCATGCCCTAAAACAGAAAATAAAGGGATATGGAGTAAATGTCCATGGGACAAAATCGCACACAATACGTAGAAAAAATACAAATTATCAATGAACAGGGCTTTTATTCCTGTTCTTAATCTTGACAGTCGCTGGAGGGTCTTCAACAATGAACGAATCATTCATACCCTACAACCAGGTCAAGACGGTCCCTTGCAACTTAAGCAGTACTTAAAGTATTGTACTGTGAATAAATTTTAAAGTCACAAAAATATAACACCAAAGTCTAAACACAATGCAAGACCAGAACAGACAGATCCGACATTAATCAGCCGGTATACATATTAAAACTGCACAAAAATGAAGCAATGAGGTCTTAGAACAGTTTTCCTGAGTGTACCCTTTTATCCCAGTTAGAAACTACACCAAGTTGTAATTGTGTTATAAAAACTGAATTCACATAGTTATATCAATGATTATCAACCCCCTCTTAACTTAATTTAAAAAAAAAACAGAATTGACAGGTATTATAATATGTTTTTCTGCAAGCCAAAACTCAATAAGAAAAAAAACAAAAATAGACAGCAGCCACACACTTGTCTATATATATGTGAATTACGATTATTGCTTTATCCTACATATCGGTCTTTTTATGTTGTTCCTAAAAACTAAAAAAGTCTAACACTGAATCTATATATTTTCTTTGAGACCAGAATATTGTCGAAAAAATAAATTAAAACAAAACTTGCGTTTTAGATTATGGGAGGGTCCGGTAAACGCTCAGAATGCACGATTTTGCGTCATTTCCCCCAAAGCTTCTAGTGGCCTTGAGTGACCCCTAGACCCATTGCCGGAAATGTTTTCGCCTCGCTCCGCTCGGCAAATATATTTTGCCTCACTTTTAAAAGAGGCTAGTTACGGCCCTGCTCCTGACTATACGTTTTATAATAAATTAATTTTTTTTATGGCAAATCAAAGTAAAACTAGACGGGTTCTGACACCCGTTCAACTTTGCAACATACGGGTATTTACGGGGATAAAAGAACAGGAGAGCAGTCTGTTGAACGCGTACTGTTTTTGGTTATGTCCGATACGCATGGTTAGATTATACTAAAGGCAATGAAACAACGTATATACGAATAAAAGGAATTACAGGATATATGGAATTGCGACAGCAATTCAACGACACAAAAACCCCACAGACATCAAGAGGTAAGCATAGGATATTCAATAATGCCTTTATAAAATCGGGTTGAACTATCTACTTACGTCAAGTATTTCTTCCAAACCAACTTGTTTTGTAGTCTGTGAATAGATATAATTGTTGCTTGTGGCAAGGTCTTTTCAAATTTCATTTGGACATTATCCCATTCTATTTTCTCTTTATTTTGGTCTAGGTTCACCATCATTTTGTTCTTTCTTGCCATAGCTGCCCAATGTGGAGGGGTTTTAAATTTTTCGTCTTTCACTCCAACTGTGGAAACAACTGAAAATAAAACAATACAATAATTAAGTATATCGATACTGTTAACGTGAATAACTTATTAGAAATATATACCACGTGGTGTTATAAATCTCTTCTTGTATTAATCTTAAGCCTTACAAATACCTCGTGTTACAGTTAAAGTTTACCTATAAAGCTATGACTTGCTCGTCCATTCGTTGTTGTAGTTTTTGGTATCATATCAAGCTTCTACTTACTGGTCAACTCAGGTTTTGTGTAGTAATCAACTCATTACTTGTTATATTTTATAATTAAACGTTTTATCGAGGTTTCAGTTGCAGTATAACTGCACTCGTGTCCATAAAATCATAGGGAGGTCATTTTGAAAGTTGGCACCACTAGATAAATGAGACACAGAAAAGTAAAAAGAGGTTGTATTGGTAACTTGTAATATAAGTAGCACTTACTAGGCGATGTGGCTTTGTGGTAGTTTGTCCAGGTATCAGTTGCAGCATTATAAAAATAAAGAGGCGTTTTTTTATGGTCTCCGTCAAAGTCCCACCAGTCAAAATTGTATTTTTTCTGTAAAGTAAGCAAAATTTTAAAATTGTATAACACAAATAATTCAAAACATTATTTAGGGTTGGTAGCTAATTGGTTGTTGCTAAAAGCACCTCTGAGTAAAGGAATAAGTATTTTTCGCCTCTTTAATGATTTTTTCTGTGGCACACTTCAAATATGGAACAATAAATCATTGGACCAATAAACGGAGCAAATTAACAGGTAGGTTGCATTATGGGTACTCACTGTTTTGTGCGTTCTAATTGGTATAGACGTCATTTACGAGGTGACTGACACTGCGAATCGTAATTTACAACGACGGAGGTTGAAATTTTGAATTGTTCTAGAACAACTTAAAATTATCTATTGTAGCGTAAGCGTTACTGTCAAATAGCAAATCTATGGCCATATAATTTACTGATTTCCAATTATAACAAGTATTTACCAGGTAATTGACATTGTCATCTGCAGGTTTTGTAACTTCCAGTTGTTTCATGAGGTCTTCTGTTTCCTTAGTCAGTTTTCCTCCCTGTTTTAGTTCTTCTGTGAACGCTTGAAATTGTTCTTTATTAGATTCCTTATAGCATACTGGAAGTATATGTTTAATCTTACAACATGGTAGCCAGTACACTATCATTAATTTACGCAAGTGTGACTTTGGTATAGAAATAGCTATACTTCTCCCGTTCGGTTATTCGGAAAATTATGAAGTCCAGTTTGAAAAGATGTATTCAATCCTATAATGCGTCTTGAGAAAGTGCCTTGTAAAAACTCAATGATGCGGCCGTTGGTGGCCCGTTGCAAAATAAAGTCTGCCCCTTCCAATATTCCCTCTTGTTTCCAGTAGAGGTCTTTAAGTATTTGCCACTGGACGTTAACCAACAACAATAAATCAATTTAATCATTGCACCCTTTTCCTATTCCCTGTATCAGTTTATCTGTTTCGATAATTTCATCATATCCGTTTGACTTTCTTCTATTCCATTCACTTCCATTTTATTGTTATCTTTTTCACTTGTGTATATCTCTAGATATTTTAATTTAAGTAATTATATTAAAGTCGGTGTAGGGAATTTTTATGCACATGTCCTTTCTGTTACATCAAACACTATTAATATTTTTGTTTACGTTAACATAACACTAAATACCTACCTCCCAGAAACATTTCTGTAATCAAACTAAAGTTAGCTAGTTTTAGAAGGCATCCACCAGTTCGCTCTGCTAATTCTTCATAAAACTTTTCAGCCGGGCTTGAATATCCACTATTGCAATATACGCCATATACCTGTAATTACATAAAAAAAAAATACAAGCACGAAATAGCTTTACTTCATTATAATTCAAATTTGATCTCCCGAGAGAAGCGTGTAAATATGTTTACTTCTCTGTACCTTCGTAAATTGGTTTTAGGGAATAAAGTATTCAACATTCTACACGTTACAATAAAAATGTCTAAGAAAAGACAAATACAATGGCCAAAAGAAAAAAAGACGAAGATATAAGCACCAAACCAGCAAACCAAAAGAAGACATAGAATAATGTGAAAATATTTATTAGCAATTAAAATTTGAAGTCGAATGAAACAATGTTTTCAACAAAACCAATCACTGGAAATAATTGTAGGTGAAAAACAACTGAAACAGCAACCAAGCAACGATAATCATATGACTAAACAATGCGATTTCCTCGAGTAAAAACATCATCAACATCATGAAAGACCAATTTTCTAAGTAAACAAAAAATACGAAATAGACAATTGGAAACAAAGGACTACTTACTAGATCTATGCCTGGGGAAAGCACAATACACATTTATTTGTTTACACGTATATAAAAAAAAAACCCACATATATACACAGTTTTAAAATTCACAATTTTGCGAATGCACATTCACTTCCAATTATTATGACGAAAAAGAATAAAGGTATATGCCAATGAGACAGCAATCCAACAAGTCATATATTTTACCTTTACTTCCATTGCTTTCAAGGCGTCCAGCTCTTCGTGCCAGTTAATCTTCTGGTCGGTATAGGATGGTGGATGCGGTTCACAGTCTCCAATCACAACCAGAGCCTTGGCAGAGTCTTCTGTCCAATCGAGTTTCTGTGCTTTATGCAGCACCAACTCGTAGCACTGAAAGATAAGTTTTTTTCAGTTTTGATCGTGTCTTACTGATTTGCCGAATCATCATAAATAATTGCTTTTACAGCCGATTCTCCGTAATGTGCATTTTTTTATATTATCTTAAATCTTAACCTTTGGCTGATCATTTTACAGCTTTTTAATAGATGTTTAGTGCCCATGTGTCATTCGTATCAACCAAATACTTACATGTATCAAGAAATTTAAAATGCGCAATGGCATTTAACACATTACAAAATCAAATTCTCATTTCTTTAAGGTTCATTAACCAATTTATCATTCTAAAATATATCAGTAAATACCTCAGGAGCATCACCACCTCCTGTTGCGGGAGTTCCCGCTGCAAAGTTGACTAGTTTTTGTACATCTGACGTAAAATCCTGGATTTTGATGACGTAGTTGTGGTTATCACAAAAATCGCCGTGTGCTATTATTCCAATTCTTATATTTGGTATATCTCTTAAAAGTCGCTGACATGTTTCTTTTAAATTAGTCCTGACCTACAATAAAGCGTGGATGTGTTATGAAAGTTTGTATATATGACAACAATGTGAACTGTCTTCCGAATACATCTAAAAGAAGAACATGACTTTATCGCGTTCTTACACTTTTGTATCTTTAATAGAATAGAAAAAACAAAGGATATGTTGTATCCATCCATGACACAAAATCAGTACATGCACATCAAAAAACACACAAAAGGCACAAAAACAGCGATTGTATTGCTGTTCTTCATCTCAAAGTGACAGTGAGGCCTTTGTTTAGTTATTATTCATGTACATTTTGATAAACCATACTCTAGATAGAAAGAATAGTCAATATTATTATCTTCAAGTTCTTCGTACCTTCATTAGGTACTGACTCATACTGCCGGTTGTGTCAAAAGAAAAAACTACTTCAACGTTCTTTCCATCTGTTTCGAAACTTGAAAGGATGGCATCCTTCAAATTATCATCAACAACAACTTGATCTTCTTCCTCACTGTCAGATGATTCTATAAACAATGTTCATGTGATATTTAGATTTTACCAGTTCATTTAGTGAGATGGAAAGCATTGTATTTAAAACAATAAAAGAACCAGGCCATTAAGAGTTTAAACATTTGGACTTTAATATGGTTGATTCGATGCAAAAATTCATATTTTATATTTATTCACATGTTTCGAATATTTCTTGTACACATTGACGGTTTCAGTTATCACACTCAGTAATAATTATACTAAACGTTTCAGGAAACAATCTTGAACTTGTTTTCAAATGAGCCAAAGTACACGAAAAACATGGCTACATGCAAAGGACTTCGAAATGACCTAAATGTTAAGTTCATACCTTTGTAATCAGAACTTTTGGATTTCTTTGAACCTTTCTTGGATGATGGTGATGGATATTTTCGCTTTCCTCCTTTGGAAAAATCCGCGAAACCTTTTCCGCCTTTACCCTTACCAAGATCAGTATACGGTTCTGTACCTTTTCCTTTTGTGACCATGGCAAGTGATCCTTTTCCTAAACCTTTTCCACCTTTACCACGCCCATATTTAAAAGGTAGAGCTGTAGTTGTTTTCGTTGTCTCCTTGATACCTTTTCCGCCTTTACCCTTACTAATATAAGAATACGATTCTGTACCTTTTCCTTTTGTAACCATGGCAGATGATCCTTTTCCTATACCTTTTCCACCTTTACCACACATGTATTTTTTACCTTTTGCTTTTGTTACTACGGTTAATTGTGCTTCCCGTACACCTGTTCCTCTTTTACATTGCACATGTTCAAAAGATAGAGCTGTGGTTGTCTCTGTAAGCTTTTTTCCGCCTTTACCCATCAATGTGGTCTTTTTTATGAATGTCGATGTTGGTGTACTTTTCTTTGCCGCTTTGGTGGCTAATTGTTTTCTTGGAGCTTTTCCGCCCGTAGATGTCCGCGCTGTTTGCTTTGTACGTGCCATCTTCAACTTTTGGTTCAATTGTTAGTTTAGATCTTTAAAAAAAACAACCATAAATGCATTTAAGGCGCCCTTATTGATGGCCAAAAGATTATAAGTTTTCCATATTAGCGTTCAGTATACTTTCATGATTATCATAATTATGCTTTGTTGAGTCAATGTTTTATATAATTTTAAAGGTCACCGTGGATTATTATGACGGAATAAAGAAGTACAGACTGATAATGCCGAATGCAAATGTATTCACATTTACCAAATATCCTTGAAAACTTGCACATAGCGGAATATGAAAAACTACATTGTTACGCTGTTGGTATTCACTTTAAAAGTTATATATACATTTGTACATATGTATTTATATAGACTAAGTGAGTTGTTACAAGATCTGATTGTAATTTCCCAAAGGATCTAAATTATTCAATACACACACCCTTATAAAAGACTAACATCAATAAGGAATATTATATAAAAGATCACGTAAATATGTAATAATATAATAAGAGGGTCTGAAGCTAAAATAAGTGTTACTTAATTTATAGAATTAAAGCAAACAAAAGAACGTCTTCAAATATTTGTATTAGTGACTGGAAATTAAATGCTAGAGTAAAACGTATTGTTTTCGTGATTTTAATTCTAAATATCTTTACGAAATAATATAGTTATAAATACATTCAGTCTAAAGGTATAGTTTTAAATCAGGTAACTAAATCATGCGAACAAATATAATATGCATATCCCGAAATACATCTACATACCACAAGAGTAGAGTAGAAATAATCTGCCCTCCTCTCTGTTATGTTCCAAATGAATAAAATAAGCCCTACACTTTAAACTGCTGAATTTAAGTATATGTCTAAATTTAGAAATTATGTATTTGATCGGTTGTAACAGCCAACCGTTTACCAATGTTCATTGGTTGAACTCATTTCATTGGATAATTCATTCTAATTTTAACCATGACGTTCAACTATCAGGCATTTCACAACATGTTGAAATAATAACCAATTGTCCATCTGTTCAAGGTCTAATTCTAATTTTAACCATGACGTTCAACAACCAGGCATTTCACAACATGTTGAAATAACAACCAAATTTTCCATCTGATCAAAGTCGCTTTCATTGGATAAGTTCAATCTAATTTTAAACATGACGTTCAACTGTCAGGCATTTCACAATATGTTGACATAACAACCACACTTCGTTCTGTTCAAGGTCTCTTCTGGTGTTCAACGATTGATCATGTAACAAATCAATACACAAATGATTAGGACAGGTAGTTTGGTTTTGTTGATTGTCATTTTTTACCTATATAAACATTGGATAGTTCATTCTTACATAATATATCAGACATTTCACAATTTGTCGAAATAACAACCAAACTGGTACAATGTGGTAACTGTTCAAAGTCTTTACTGGTGTTGAAAGCTTGATCATCAAATCGGGTAACAAATCAATATTAAAAATAAAATATCAGGTGTTCTATATTTAGCTGTTTTTACTTTACCTGTATAAATCTATTGAATCAGATATAAATGTCACGTATCTGTAAGATTAGAGATTCTATAACAATCATAAATTAAATCTCTAACATACAATTGTGTACTACAATTGTGTACACAATCAAAAATGTATTTAATGGAGATCATAAAAGATGATTGCAATATATATGATATATATCATGCTATCAATCCTACTATTCTTATCAATAATTAAACATGAGTAAAGATCAAAAGTTTGACTGTACAGCCTAAAAGAATCTACATCCAAAGTTGATTTGATATATTGGGCCTGTTAATTTATAATCATGAGCATCAAATTTTTTCTTTTTTTTTCAGCTTTGTCCTTCGTTCTTTTGAAACCTGTTATAATAACTTATCAATTGCAAGTTGCAGGATCTGCTTAGAATTTCAGGAGCACCTGGGATCCTCCCCGGTTTTTGGTTGTGTTCGTGTTACTCCAGTCTTTAGTTTTTTATGTAGTGTTTTGTAGAGAATTGCTTTTTGTTTTTTTCCTTTTGCGTTTTCATTCTCCCTATGTTATTATCTGTCTCTTTTATTTTTATATATATATACAACATATGTAAAAATATGTAATACAAAATGTAGACGACATTATATTTTAGTATCAGTCTACTAGCAACGCCATCATTTATGTTGTATTATTGTAGAAAACTATGTGATTGCGTTTGAATGTTCTCTTTCTTTAGTGGGTTTTTAAACTGCTGGGACGATGTCCGAATTACATGGATTTTGTTTGTTTTTTTTTCTTTTTTGGACCCTCGAAAAAATTAATTCTTTTCGTTTTGCACACTTGGTATTTCTAATTTTTTGTCAACTCTTTAATCTTTGCACATTTCAAAAGTTCATATACTCATTGACTTGCAATCAACATTTCAAAAAAAAATCAACCAGGGATCTCTATACTGTATCGTATGCCCTTAAGATGATGCATGCCAAGTATAGCACTATATAGATAAACAGTCATTGCTTAAAGTAGAAAGAAATTAAGATAAAATGATCAAGTGATCACAAATACTCCCACCCGCAGCATAACTGTATGGTGAATATCCTCAATTAAAATCGAATTTATCCTTTATCTTATGTTTATGATATTGTGTTTTAAATTCAAAAATGTAAATTTCCTATCTGACATCAATAAACGAAACAAAAAACAATCAACTCAAATCTTTGTACTTAAACAATCATCGGAAGACCAAAAAAACGACTTCAATTTTTAGTGTATTTAGAGGTACGAAAGGACGGACATGGGTTTAACTACGGTATATACATTTTGTACCACCCTTTTCGGGACATGGGTTAAAAAAAATCAAGAAATAATTTGACCTAAGAACAATAACTACGTTGTAAACCATTCCATATAGACTACAAATAACTACGTTATACTTGTATTGATCAAAATAATTGTTTTATATTTAACATTTGAAAAGGCGCTGAATCAGCATTCTTTTTCTGGATTACATTTGTACTTCAGCAGAATAGAGGAATGTGTCATACTTAAAAACATATATTCAGATCAATATATATATATATATATATATATAATCAAATGAAAAAATATATGGCTATATAATGTATTTTTTTCATTTGATTATTTTCCTAATCACAACCTAAATTAATTCTTTAATGAAAATTAACAATTAAATTGAAATAAGTCATGATGATTAGTTTTATATAAATAAAACATCACGTAAAGGCTAAATAAAGCAACACAATATTTAAATACCCGGTCTGTCATATCTAAAAATAGCACATATCATTTATTTTGTGAAACATCATGATTTAATCGAACCGTTGAACACCAACGTATATTGGCTGTCATTGCACCATATTGTGAAATGTTAATTGACGGTTGAACACCCATAATGCACCAACGACATCATATGATCATCAAAATTAGCCAATGAAAATATGTGACCAAACTGGTTGTGACAACGGAGGAAATATTTTATATCTTGATATGAAGTTAATGCATCACATGATATCTGGAATTCTAACATAGTAAAAGGTAATTTTAAAGCATTGTAATTTTTTTTTAACTTTTTTGATTTGAAAATAAGTGGTTTTAAAATTCAGCACCTAGTAATTATATGTTAGAAAGAAAGGGTAGTGTTTCGCATTCAGTGACACATATTACACGCATATTCACTGAGACTACTTTAACACAATCAAAGTACTGAAGTACTGAACATCGGATGACCGCAAGTTCTTGTGGATGGTCACAAGCACTTGTCTCAGAAAAAAATCACATCTCTATAACTGAAAGTGAGGTTAATGTACAGATATAAAAAAAATTCTGAGACAAGTTCGTGCGTGGATAATAAATAAATGACAGGGAATTTAACCTCACCGTAATAACTATTATATTGTAGTGATACAAATCAGTATACTCTGGTTTGTTGTTATATATTATATTAATATTTGTATATAACAGTTGCCTGTATATATAATTTTCATCCATTTGTATATCATTCTATTCTACTATATTAATAATAGTGCAGTGCAAATGCATGGTGGACACTCTTCTGTAAAAATTCAATTTTTCTAAAAGATTGGATTTGAGTAGGCATTCATATTTTCCCGCAAAACGTTCAACTCCCATGCAGAGTTGTCGGTCCTTGAGAGAGAGCAAGGACCAATATAAACTCTGCATGGGAGATTGCAAACGTTCTTGAGATATTCTTTCGCATGCGTTAACACAATTTTTTCTGTACGTGTGCATAGATATTAATGATTTTTTACTTATATATATATATATAACAAAACATTTTCATATTATTAATTTATGTTCTTAAAAAAATATTTTATGAGTATTCATTGAAGAAATGAATTTATAACAAGCGATAAGGAATGTTATTTTGCACTCGATGATGTCCGCGTATTTATAGATTATAGATCCGTTACCAGTCAAACACGAAAGTTACGTAATGGAAATCTCTCTGGCAACAATACATCGGAATGCCCTCACGGTCATCGCGATTTAAAAATGGTATTGGGCGCGGGCGTTTGGGCCATGGACCCTTTCCTTCATTCCAGTGTTTAATTTTGTATGCCAACTGAAATTTATTTCTCAATTCTGAAATTTATTTCTTAATACTGAAACTTATTTATTAATACTGAAACTTATTTCTTAATACAGAAACTTATTTGTTAATACTGAAACTTATTTCTTAATACTGAAAAATTAAAATAGGAAAACAGGGATAACGGCTGGTGTTGTAATATCTTATTTGTAATAGAAAGAAACATAGGATGTAAATAAGTTGAAATATAAAAGAAATTTAAACTTACTAAAAACACCGATTAAAAAGAAATAAATGGGGCCCAACGCGCCTGTGGTCTTAGATGTTCAGGACGAGAACATGTCGTTGGGATAGAAATTATGCCCCCATACCCTACCCCTACCCCCACCCCGATATATAAAAAATATACAAATAATATCAATAATGAATTATTTACCATGATTTTTTTTTTCGTTTTGAGAACTAGCAATTGTATACCATATGGTCTCACTAACATTAATTAATCCAATCTCAGTATTTTAGAATATTCAATTTTTTTTGGACGGATTTCAGCACAATATTAAAGATGGGACGTACTAAACAGACAGCGCGGATATCCACCGGCGGAAAAGCCCCAAGAAAACAATTAGCAGCCAAAACAGGAAAACAAACTTCTACAGTCATAATGAAAGGAAAGGGCGGAAAAGGTTTCACAGCTCCATCGCCGTCAAAGTTCACAAAAATTCCAACAAAATTAAGGTAACCGATAATCTCTTTACTTTTCATTGTTATTGTTTCTTAGTGGTACGAAAGATATCAAATAAAATCAAATCTATTGTTTAGACGTTTTAGTCTTTTAAAATCCAATAGTAGGATTGTAAGAAAGGCATACAAAATTCAATAGTATGATTGTAAGAAAGGCATACAAAATCCAATAGTAGGATTGTAAGAAAGGCATACAAAATTCAATAGTAGGATTGTAAGAAAGGCATACAAAATCCAATAGTAGGATTGTAAGAAAGGCATACAAAATCCAAAAGTAGGATTGTAAGAAAGGCATACAAAATCCAATAGTAGGATTGTAAGAAAGGCATACAAAATTTAATAGCAGGATTGTAAGAAAGACATTCAAAATTCAATAAGAACATACACAAAGATACGCGAAATAAACTCACAATGCTCCTATTGTAATCTATTGAAAAACAAGCATCTTCACCAAGGATTTGGAATAACAGTAAGAAAAACCCTTGCCTTCATGTCGACTTGTATCACTTACTCAAACATTTTTTCCCTCATATAATCAAATAGCGCGTGCATTTTAATTGCTCACACAGTGAACTCAATAAAATTATCACAATGCTAACAGTTGTAAGCCTTTTTATTTTAGCTTTATTCCAAGTAGTACATTTCCTTCAGCAACCATCCCACACACAATACCAGCGCCATTACCTACACTGTCAAAAAATGTGACGTCGCATGTATCAAACGTAAGAGGTAAGACTTGAATAACTCGGTCTCTCTTACGTTACATGTGTCATGTACTTTTACTTATATTAAAGGTAGGTAAGATGCATTCTGAATGAATGTAAGGGGTATATGAAACTGTAGAGTTTGATTCAAAATATGTTAGAAATCGCAAAGGGATAGAAGAAGCTAGTCCAGTCCCATTGTAGCGATAAATATTTTTTTTATGTATACTTTGTTTCGACTGCCGCCCCTTTTTAGAGAAAATTGTTCGTATTCCTCCGTGTCTCCTGTTTTTAAAACCTTGAACCTGCTATTACGTTAATCGATCGTTATAACTTGGGAAATCATGCTTAGTACAGACCTTTGCTCACCTTGAAGTTCTTACTATGCATTAAAATTGGTTTTCAATGTCTATTAATTGTTTTTTTCTTGAAATTCATTTTTTTAGATTCGGCATACTCCGTTTTTCTACACACATAACATTAGGTTTATATCAAAAACATGTATCAAACACCGATCTTCTTTCGCTCATACTAATATATATAAATAACATAATAATTTAGTTAGCATTTTTTACAAAGACAATACAAATGTACATGTCACAGCAAACAAATCAATGACGTGGATGTTCAGAAATATAAAACAGTAATTGTGCAAATATTTTAACAAAAACATAATAAAGTTATAAAATGAATAAAGGTTCACTACTTTCTTTTGTATGTCACCATCAGCTCACATGGCTACAAAAACAGCTGAAAAACTACCAACGCCTTCTCACTGGACTGATATGGACGGAGAAAATAACATAATGGTAAACATTGATCAGAATGTAGAAGGATTTATGAAAATGGAATGGGAAAATGTTCAAATGAAATTTGAGAAAACTTTCACACATGCCACTATCATATCAATCCACAGACTTCAGAATGTCTTCTTTTGGGAAAATTATTACTTGTAAGTAGTGTTTGCAGTGTCATAACGCCAAATTAAATGGGTTACAATACAGAAATTATATACAAAAAAAAAGGTTTATTGTTTCTAATGTCTTCCAGCATTTCACGTAATGTCTTTTCAATTAAGTGCATAAAATGTAACTAAAACCAATAAGAACACAACACTGTGGTGGGCGTAAAAGGGGAGAACCGGGCCATTTTTGTTAAAACGACAATTTTGACAAGCAATAAAAAGTCAGATTTCTCACTGCCTTTCTTTATTTTTCATGAAAGCAATACAGTTTTGGATAAATGTAATTCTCTCTGATTAATATTGTTGATATTCCATAGATTTCATGAAATGGTAAGTTCGGAAACAAAAATTGTACAATGCACTTCTAGAGCTTCATTATCCGCATATCTTATACAGGACTTATTTTAATCTTATAGGAGAAAAAGAAAATTGGAATATGATTATGGCAAAGGCTGTTCTAACGAGCTCAGTTTGTTTCATGGCACAACCCCAGACAGTCTGGAGGTCATTACAGAACAAAATTTAGACCCTCGTCTAGCAGGCGGTCGTACTGGAACTATGTTAGGGAAAGGAATATATTTTGCAAAAGACGCATCATATTCCGACTCTTATGCGCAACCTGACGATGCAGGTCATAAATTCATGTTTCTGTGTAAAGTTTTGGCGGGAAAAACATGTAAAGGAAAATCTGACTACACGAGACCTCCACAGCAGTTTTCAGGAGGTCCTTTATTCGACAGTTGTGTAGACAATGAGAAGAACCCGCGAATATACTGTGTTTACCATGATAGTCAGTACTATCCTGAATATCTTATTGAATACATTTAAGTTGTTGCACAAAATGGCCGGAATGTATATTAAGCACTAGTATTGAATTTGTTGATAAAGACAATATATGACTGGAACAAAAAGTTGTTATAACTTTAAAAATGTTCAAATCTTTACATATTGTCACATTTGTAAATGAATGTATTAATGCGTATTTGTTATTTCCTTGTGGCAATAATCAAGATATGTGAAACTTAATTGTGTATTATTTTCAATTGTTTAATCAGATTGGCACAAATCTAAAAAAAACCAAATAAAGTAAACACAAAAGACATGCATGATTGTGAGCGCTCAACACTCCTCTAACATTAGACAGGCTGTTACATCACTATCCAATGTTAGAGGAGTGTTGAGATCGCTCACAATCATGTTTTTCCTGCCTCATTCTAGTCAGGAGCATGTAGTTCAGTAGTTGTCGTTGGTTTCCGTCTGTCATATTTGTTTTTATACGACCGCAAAACATTTTTTGCGTTCGTATAATGCTATCATGTCGTCGTCGTCGGCGGCGTCGTCTGCGTCGTCGTCGTCGTCCGAAGACACATTTGGTTTCCGGACAATAACTTTAGTTTAAGTGAATGGATCACTATGAAATTTTACCAGAAGGTTAAATACCACAAAAGGAAGGTTGGGATTGATTTTAGGGGTTATGGTACCAACAGTTTAGGAATTAGGGGCCAAAAAGGGGTCAAAAACAAGCATTTTTGTAGTTTCCAGACAATAACTTGTGTAAGAGTATGAATCTCTCTAAAAATTGTACAACAAGGTTCCATACCACAAAGGGAAGGCTGGGATTGAGTTTAAGGGGGTTATTACTCCAAAAAGGGGGGGGTCAAAAAGTTTGGGGAGATTTTTTTGGGGGGGTTCATATTTTTTTTCTTCAAAATTTTTGAAATTTTCAAATTTTTTGAAAAGTTTCAAGAAGATATCTTCAATTGCACAGTATTGCGCAATAGCAAGAAATCTTCAAATTCACAGTATTGCGCAACAGCAAGAAATCTTCAATTGAACAGTATTGCGCTATAGCAAGAAATCTTCAATTGCACAATAGCAAGAAATCTTCAATTGCACAATATTGCGCAATAGCATATTCAAATTTTTAAGATCTTTGACCACATTTATTTTGTGTCAGAAACATATCATGTCAAAAATTTGATCACAATCCAAATTCAGACAGTATCAAGCTTGAATATTGTGTCCAAACTTGCCCCAACTGTTCAGGGTTCGACCTCTGCGGTCGTATCAGGCTGCGCCCAGCGAAGCATTTTATTCGTTGATTGTTTTGTCTTCAATCAAGCCGTTGATTTTCTTGCTCGAATTGTTTCATATTTTGTCATGTCGGGCGTTTTATAGCTTACTATACTGAATGAGTTTTGCTTGTTGTTGAAGTCTGTACTGTGACGTAAGGTAGCTTATATTCATGTGATTTGGACTCCGTTGGGGATAGTTGTCTCAAGGTTGGCAATCTGACCATGTACTTTTTATATGTAACAAATAAATGCCTGGAAATAATTAAAAAGGATACTAAACCAATTGAAACTATGTCGTAAAGATCAAAGGGAAAGGACATCACTCAAACACAAAATCAGTTATTTTTTGTGTAAAAGAAACGACGTATGCAAACGGCAAAGACTTGTGTGGTACCAACCCAAAAGTGAAAGTTGTTCAGCCTCATACTATACCTATCGTTTTTCTCTGCGGACAAATAACGTCAAATTGGGAAAAGTTCAATAAGAGACAACAGGTAGTTTACCGATGTCAAATTTCATCAATCTAAGTGGATCATACAAATCAAGTTTAAAACCAAAAACTGTGGGAATCTAAACATAAAAAACGAAACTGGATGCGTCGACATAGTAAGGGTAACTTTCCATGCATGCTTGCATCATCCGCCATGCGAATCCACACTCAATCAATTTTTCACAATCGGGAATAGCAAACAATCGATATTTACAGATCAGATGACCATTCTGGTATCTGAAGATCTAAAGAAGATGTTAAATGAAATAAACACTTTATTAAAGAGGAGATATGATAAGACTCTTTATCTAGTCCATGAAATTGCAAATATAGTCAAATAGTCAAACCTTTCAAAATTATGTGAATTTTATTGTTTAATGAACAGACTGAAGGAATCTAGACAACTTAGTACAGAAAGGTCACTTTTGATGTCGCAATGACGTCACAAACATGTTGAAAAACTGACATATTTGACCTAAAATGTCCATTTTACACGCAGTTTGTGGTCAAAATAGATATTAGCAACAGCTTTATCCAATATCCAAAAAGTTATAAGATATTATACTTATTTGCATCTATGTAAAGTACATCTTGAATCTATATCTATTTGGGTAAAGCTGTATTTTTAGCATATCTAAATTTTAATGACAAGATCTCAAAATTAGGCTTTATTTGCTATTTTGGCAGTTTTTTAATAAATGTACGGAGTTTGCGAAGCCCTGATGTAACTTTGTAAGATAAAATATAATAATTAAATACTGATGATTGATAGTCCAAGTCATGTGATCATTAAAAGCTTATTATTTTGGCTTAATTATCAATTTTTCGAGTTCGGGGCCCTGGAAATGGTCTTATTGATCATACAGAAAAAATCGCCCGAGACGTTTATTCCGGATTAAACTTCATCAGGAACGGTGTGAAAGCCAGGGATGCGTCTATCTGTGTCAATATAGAGTAAAGGATCAAGATACGAAGCAGACCGTTTAGTTTCGATAGTATCCTTATTCTCATATTCTTTAGGATATATTAGATGCAAGCACTCACTGAAATGAGGGTTATTAAGTGACAAGACACCGACAGTATATTTGAAAACAAAATTAAAGAACTTTGTTAGGTGATTTTTTTCTTTTTATTGTGGAAAAAGATCTGTATGGCTTCTGCTTCATATGAGTATAAAAACAAATCGACCTATTGGGGTGACCAATAAGTACCCATTGTAATACTCACTGTCTATTGAAATGTTGATCAAGCAAAGTCATACAAATGTTGTCGATCAAAGCGTCCAGCGTTGTTGGAATCAGTGTGGTTCTTAACAAATAAGATTTTTCATGACCTCAAACAAAGGATACTTATATTTGTAGAAAGTCTCTGTTTTATCAGAAGATGTAGTCGATCTTTGAATTTAACGTGGTAGCATATGTGTAAAACAATCAATAGTTTGTGGTTGAATATTTTGAAGTAGATTTTTTAAATTTTGAAGAAGCAACATCTGATTGATCGACACAACTGACTGAAAATACCGCATCACTTTATTATTGAAGGCCTTTCTTTTATTGTAGAAAGAATAGTAGTAAGAACTTTAGAAATATGTCTAGACGATCCGGCTTTATATCGTTCCATTAAAGACATTTGTGATGTTAATGTATCCAGTATAGAGACGGGAGATTTGCATCGTCCTCTTTTTACCAAAGAACAGAAGGAGGGATTTGCAATGTTCTTTCCTTTATCCTTTATCTGAAAGAATATGTTACCGGTATTATTCATTTAAGGATGTTTGCTACTCGGTTTCAAAATAACAAGCTTTTTAAAAGACTATTCTAAAATGATAGTATATAAATAAAGGAACTAAAAAAGCAGAAAAAAATGAAGGGTCCGTGAGCTTGTTTTCGAGTTATAAGCCATTGAAAATTTGGCGGGAAACGATTCTCTCTAGATTTTTCGTTCTTTTAACGTTGGTCGCTTTTTTGTTTCAAAAACTATGAAAAAATAACAAGGATTTTATAAGACTTTCAAATATGGCTTTTTAAACTATATTTAATAAAATTATGAAAAAAAAAGTAGGGGTTAGTGGGCAAATTTTTTTAATGGCAATACATGGATAAAACAAGAGGATTCCGAAAATCTGGCAAAAATTCAAAAACAAGAGGAGCAAACATCCTTAAAGGATAATGTACTGATTTTTATGGAAATTTCTTCTATGTTCCTATTGTTATTCCGCTGATCGAGTTTAAAAGGGGAGGTAAATCTCGAAGTTTCTTAATCTGACACATGTTCATGTTTTCCTGTCTAAATTAAGGAACTACACCAGTGACTGTCTTTATTCATATTTGTTTGTTGTCAAGGGATTTGCTGTTGATGTCAGAAATTTGATAGTCATATTTCATTTATTCCCAAGCTCTAGACTAAAGCGATTAAGGGCTAGACATATACTGTATTGGCACTTCTCCGAATGAAACTTATCATATGATTTGTACTTGAATGAGCAACACGACGGATGCCACATTTGGAGCAGGAACTGCTTACCCTTCCGGGAAACCCGAGTTCATCCCCGGTTTTTGTTGGGGTTCGTGTCGCTCAATCTTTAGTTTTCTATGTGTTTTGAAGACTTGTTGGTATTTTCGTCATTTCGATGTTGCCATGGCGTTGTCATTTTTACAGCGGATGACCGTGAGGGCATTCCGGTGTATTGCTATCGCCTAGATTTCCATTACGTAACATTCGTTTTGGGTTTTTAACCGATCTATAAACATGATGAATACGTAGACATCATCAAGTGCAAACTTACATTCCTTATCGCTTTTTATAAATTCATTTCTTCAATGAATACTCATCAAATACTTTTTAAAGAAGATAATCAATAATATTAAAATGTTTTGTTGTATGTATATACATATACGTAAAAAATCATTAATATCTATGCACACGCATGCGGAAGAATATCCCAAGAACGTTTGCAATCTCAAGGAACGATAACTCTGCGTGGATGATTAAACATTTTTTGCGGGAAAATACGAATGCCTACTCAAATCTATTCTATTAGAAAAATAGAATTATTACAGAAGAGTGTCCACTATGCACTTGCACTGCACTATTATTAACATAGTAGAATAGAATAATATACAAATGCATGAAAATTATATATATATATGTAACTGTAATATACAAGTATTAATATAATATATAACAATAAACCAGAGTATACTGATTTGTATCCCTACAATATAATAGTCATTTAGGTGATGTTGAATTCCCTGTCATTAATTTATCATCCACGCACGAACTTGTCCCAGAAAAAAATTATATCTGTACATTAACCTCACTTTCAGGTATAGAGATGTGATTTTTTTTCTGAGACAAGTGCTTGTCGGACCACAAGAACTTGCGGTCATCCGATGCTCAGTACTTCAGTACTTTGAT